ATTATTATTATTATTATTATTATCATCATCATCATCATCATCATTATCATTATTATTGTTATTATAATAATTATAAAATGTGTTGTACCTACTATTGAGATGGTTTTGTGCAAGACTCTTTCGTGCCCTAGAGTTTTGCGGCGCCAAGTGCGTGCGCAGGCGGTGGGGGGAGCTGTCGGAGGCCAAGATGGCGCTGTACGTGCGGTTCGCGCTGGCGCTGGCCAACCTGTCGCTGCCTGCGCTGGCGCACTTCCCCCGCGACGCCGCCGACCCCGCGCTGGACGCGCTCTCCGCCCGCCATCAGGAGGACCTCGCCCTCGAGGTGAATGGAATTCAATTGAATTGAATTGAATGATGAGGCCTGCTCTTCCGTCTGACCACGCAGATTCAGCTACGCTCCTTTCACCTAGCAGAGAAAGGAGGTATTTCTTGGGCGAGAAATAGGCGATTTCAATTTAGCTCAGAGGCGTCATTTAGGCTTGAGGATCTCTTACATGCAAGTAAATCTATTAACATGGGACAGCCGGCTTTACTTCCCCTCGAAGAATTTTTCCGCCCTTAATAATCCACGGCTTCGATCGGGTTTGAACCCGCCGACTTGGGTACGCTAACCGTTACACCACCGCCGCGCGTAATGTGCGCCCTGCAGTGCTTCTGACCGAGAGCTCCCTGGGTTCGAGTCCCCACGGTGGTGGGATTCGGCTACGTACTAGCTAGGTCGAATTCAGCCGCTGTCTGGAGAGAATTCTAGCGGCCGGGGGCGGCGGATCGGTAGTTTTCCGTGGTTTCTGCGATCAGCCCCAGGTGAATGCCGGAGTAGTTCTCTAGCAAGCGGACCGCGCGCGATCTTTCCTTCCTCTTCCTTGTCCTATCGTTGCCCCTTTCTTACACATTGACACTAACATGGACTACGCGACCACACATGTCGGGAGGCCCATCGGGAGCTTCGGGCTCTTCTCGGCCGAAGAGGGCGCAGAAAATTTCCAAGCCAAAAGGTTTGAAGTGCAAAGACTGGTGGAACGGAAGGGGACCACAACTGAAGAGAAAGGGCTTTAATCGAAAAACGGTTTCAATTCACTCTGCGGTACTGCGAATGCTCAGCTCTGGGTCTTTAGATTGAGACCAACGTGGATTCAACCTTCATTTTCGTCAACTATCAACATTGTTTTTAGTTTTATGTTCCAACAAATAAGATGCTTAAGTATGGCATAAAAATTGCTTGATGCTAGGTTGTTTTTACCAAAATATCAATTTTTAACAAGGTTTAATGGGAGGTAATAGCCCCCGTGACTTATTTATCTGGATACGTCACACTCGCATACGGTAGTATTATAATTCACTAAGTTTTCTGAATAACCGGACAACCTCGCCCCTTAAAACATCAAAATGTTTTACAGCTTATGCTACCAATGTGACATGTGAAACATTTCTTTCAGTCGCAATTGGATGTGAATCCGGAAGCTTCTTCACCTCGTGAGTCGCAAATATACCCGCTGCCCGCCATGCGCACGCTCACAGAGGCGGGGCTGTGCTACGCCTTTGGCAGCCTGCACGCTCGACACTTCGCCCCGAGGTACGCCGTCTACTTTCTCAGCCACTGCACTCAATCTGCGCCCGCTGTGCAGAACTCTACCCACTCACAGTCACTGACCATCGTGGCCACGCTCACAGATGTGCTACACCAGTTGCAACCTACTCGCCGGACACATTTTGAGCCTTCTCCTCAGCTCACAGCCCCCCTACACTCTCCGGTAAAGAATGCAACGTTGACGTTGAATACGCAAGTTACTTAGAAAACATTCTATTTAATTGCTTTAAATATCATAAATTTTTCTATATACTTGTGTATTCCCTATGTATTCTTAAATGTTTTTTTTTACTGTTGATAGGAAGTGCAAGACGTCTGCTAGCGAGTGCTAGTAGAAAAAACTAACACTTCCAGCACACGGCTTGCACTTGCCGTGTCATTGGCATTTCAGCCCCTTTTATTGAATTCTGCTCTTTTACACTCATAAAATATGTGATCAAAACTTTAGAACTGTTTCTGCAACACTAGTGAGTGTTGTGTATCTGTATAACAGTAAGATACGAAATATTTAACACACGATTTACAATGTGGTAATTGAGTGAAAATAAGTAATGTATGCTTTTGTGCCAGGAATGTTTCGAATAATGTTACCTGGGTCCACCCTGAGTGCCACCCCCTCGATAACCCTCTCTGCAGTGGGTTCCTCACGGGCTTCGACCAACCCGTTGATGTAAGTTCAGAGCCAACAAAACAATTTTCTTTACTTTTGATCTTTTTAATTCTCATATCTCTTTCAAAATATTGTCGCGACGTAAGGCAACCAAACGGGTGGCTCTCGGCGGCCGGCGGCCGCTAAGCGAAGCGTGCTGGGGCGGCGCAGGTGGCGGTGCACGGGCGGCGGCAGCTGGCCGGGTCGGGCGCGGAGGCCGACGGGCGCTGGCGCCGGGCGACGCTGGGCACGTGGGAGCGCTGGAACTTCGAGGGGCTGCAGCTGCTGGCGTCGCGCCACACGCTGGCGCTGCCCGCGCGCCAGCGGCGCTGCGCCACCGGCCGCTGGGCCGACTGCGTGCCGCGCTGCCGCCGCGACGCCACCCTGCGCCTCTGCGCCTGCGCGCCCTTCTTCTACCGCCCGCTCGGTAGACCCTGCCGCCCTTTGCCAGGGCGCGGCTTGCGCGAAGTTTCAAACTCCTAGGGCAGGCCTCGCCTACAAGACGATCGCCATTGACGAGCCGATCGCAGCAAATTTTTGTGTCGATCTCTTTTACAATTTGCTCTTACTAATGGTACTTCTGATTATCAAATTTGGACGTCGATTTCGAATTAATTAGAAAATTTAAGGATTAATTTTGTTGGAATGCTTATGCATACCTGGGTAAATAAGTAACATTTGTGTTTCAACAAGGTTAATTTGTTTTGTAAAAATCTAAGACACTACTTCCTAATAAACTCAAACTAGCAGTGGTCGATCAACTTGGGTGTTATGTATAAAAATTGATTTCATTTGAGTTAAAGTTGCCCAGGCCTGTCCTAGGGTGTGTAGATGGTGTGTAAGCTGACTTTTTGTCGATTATCATGTAGAAAATTTCTTGTAACGAAGTTATAGATGTGTCATTTGCTCCTGATGGGCCACGCCTCTTGCACCAGTGATCAGTTGATGATCTCACACAAAATCCCTTTGATGCACTGAGAGCGTGATCTGCTGAACCCTAAATCATGAGGATTTGCCGATCAGGGCCAACTGTCACATGTGCAATTTCGTTACACGAAATTTCCCACTATGGGTTGGAGGGAAATGCTTATTTTCGACCTCTCTATGTATCGTATGTGTTTGTAACATTTATTCTAACAAACTCACACACTCACGTATATATATATATATATATATATATATATATATATATATATATATATATATATATGAGATTGTCATTTCCTACTGTAAAAAACACTTCACCATCTTCTCCTGTTACACGTGTTTCCTACGTCATTTTGATTAAAAAGGATGCAGGACGTTGACTATTACATTTCTTCTATGATGTCTAGGAGGTTATCTTGAAGATTTCTCCTTCTCTGCGTTAAACTGTGTTATATCGTATTGTGTATATCGTAGAAGCCCCCAAACTCGTATTCATGTCACACCATCGCCAAATTGAAGCAAAACATCATGCCGTGGGTCTTGCGTGAACGTTTGAATGAACGGCACAGAATTAGAATGCAAAATAAACACATGCGTGTTATGAGGCAAATCGATAACCGTTATTTTCAACAATGATATAGCGCTAATGCCAATTAAATGTCACCCATTTTCATTTTAACTGAACATTCGATATTCTTATAATATTCCTGAAAGTGGTTTATTAAAAGGGGTAAATTAGAACAATTATATTTAGAAGTTCATCGGTGGTTGCAGAGAGAAGTGGTATATAAAGAGGATTTTTCGTACAATATGTGGGTTTCAGTGTCTTTTCCAAGAAAATTCAGTCGTTGAATGAGGTGGACGTTTAATAGGGATGCTCTTTCAAAGACGTTTCACTGCATTTATATGTTATGTTTCAATGCAGCTACGAGTACATTGCTGTAATACTTTCAATTACAGTTCTACAGCTGGAGCAACTTGTCCCAGTTCCCGACTTCATTCAAGCTCCGAACATGTTTGCATTAAAAAAATGAAAAATATTGTTTGTGAAATAAGAGACGAGGACCTTTTTTGTTTGAAATAAGGGACCCCCCCCCCATTGGATCAACTGTCCTAGGCCCCTGGTTATCTCTGGGCGCCCCTGCCTAACGCGCATTAAAATGACATGCGGTTTATCCGCTCCTGAAGACGAAACTGATCCTTGTAATTGTGTATCGACGCTGAATATCATACAAGATGCGGCGGTTGGAATTGCTTTAATGTTTTTCTCTCGCTACAGGTAAACACATTTCTCCACGTCTGCGGAATTTCCGAAATTGGCTTCGTCAGAGTCTTTGCATCATTCTTAGTGTTGTGGTTTATACGAGTGCAAGTAGTGGGTAGTGAAGAGTACTAAATGAAGACCCTCCAATCAGGCTCTAATGCTAATATCTGAACTTGCACTGAATTACTCAATTGTAATAGTAATATTTTCGATCTTAGTTTATGTTCTTTCACGTACTATGAGCTTTTACGAATGTAAATTCTCTATCTCTCACTCACGCTTTCACGTACACACACACACACACACAGACACATTTATACATGTCAGCGAAACATCTGAAAGAGGTTATTTGGCAAGGGAGTAATAACCCTCATTCAGCCGGTGCCCCCTCCTCGGCAAACGCTTTTGAGAGCAGGTTGTGAGACGCGGGGGTGCGCTCCTGGCGCGCGCAGGGCCGGCGCCGCTGTGCCGCGCGCAGGGGCTGCGCTGCCTGAGCGAGCGCTGGGCGCAGCTGCAACGCGAGGCCGCCGGCTGCCGCTCCTCCTGCGCCCCGCCCTGCTCCGTCACGCTCTACCACTTTCACGGGCCCAACGGCCGCACGCGACACGGGAAAGGGAGGCGACTGGCCCCCGCAACCCGCGCCACCGACCCACCCCCTCCCTCCCCCCCTCCCCTCCCCTCCCCTCCCCTCCCCTCCCTCGCCCCGCCCCCGCCCCGCCCCGCCCCCACTCGCCTCGCCCTCGCCTCGCCACTCGCCTCGCCGCTCGCCTCGCCCCTCGCCGCTCGCCGCCACGCCACACGCCACTCGCCCGCCACTCGCCTCGCCGCTTCGCCTCCGCCTCGCCTCGCCTCGCTCCCTCGCGTCCGTGCCCCCCCTCGCCTCGCCCCCCCTTCGCCTCGCCCGCCCTCGCCTTCGCCGCTCTCGCCTCGCCGCCTCGCCTCGGCCCTCGCCTCGCCCTCGCCTCCGCCCTCCCATCCTCTCCTCCCTCGCCTCCTCGCTGCCCCTCGCCTCGCCCGCCCGCTCGCTCGCCACGCCACACTCGTCGCCACTCGCCTCGCCCGCTTCGCCTACGCCACTCGCCCCGCCCCCGCCCCTTCCCTTTTACACAGTTTAAAACTCCCACAGTGTAAAGTCCTACTTTTACAGTTAAAAACTCTGTGTGACGTGCGATGGGGAGAGGTTAATTTCAAGTTACATTTATGTCCAGAAGCAAAACAAGGGGCCATCTCAGCATTTGCTCGAAGATCGTACAGTGATACAAAATGAGTCAATCTGTATTGCTTAGGTTTCGGGGTTCCGTATCAGACATGGAAGCCGAATTCATGTGATTTAATAAACTTGTTACAACACTTGAGCTGTTTGTCGACAATTCCCCGCCCCTCCTCCCTCGAACTCAATTCCACAGACACCTGTTTTGCTCTTCCAGAACCAAAAACACGGATGAGGTGGTGAAAATGTACTGGAGGGTCACTACCTTCAGGCGGCAGCGGTACCGGAAGCAAGTTCTTTTCTCGTTCGAGGACCTGCTCGGTACGTGAGTCTCTGTTCTTCAATTACATAGAATGTGCTTCTAACGGCGGAAGACACGGGCTTTAAGTAGGAATAGAGACATTCCGCCATTTTTTTTAAATACTTCTATTTTTGGTAAATAGATCAATATACAATATATTCATAAATTTCAAAAATTGCCAAAGATATTGTCTCGCAAATCTAACTGGTTTTAATGTGTTTACGAGTAATTCCTTGTATGTATCGTAAACTTTCATCCAAGCATTTTTCAATATTATAAACAAATAGGAGAAATGAATTTGAATGCCAAATCAATGCAATCTCATCGCCAGAGTTTCAATAACAGCGATTGGGAGACGACGTATACTTTTAGAATTTAGCTGAAAAGCTTCATGAAGGCTCGAGAGTTATATTTATTTGATACGTATGAAACAATTGGGCGCTGTTTTGACAAGGTTGGATTTTTTATCTCATTCCTTCATTTTCCACATAAAAAAAAATTGTGGCCTGCAGTATCAAGAATGCTGCTAAACAAACCGCCCAATATGGATTTCCCAAACGTAGCGCGCAGAGTGCTCAAGAACACAAATAAAATACCCTCTTATAACGCTCCAATAAATGAAATACACCTATTTTAGGGAAAGCAGCCTTCGCGAATACTGCGTTATATTCTCGAATGTACAACTGAGTAGTTCTTCACATACCAAGACTATCAAAAAAGTTGCTGTTTCGTAACGCAATACGTGGATAGAAAATAATACGAGGGCTCTCTTCCTTTGAGTCTCACTATCGCATGACGGCATCTGTAGCGTATGCAGTGATGCACTGAGTATGTGATTTCGTTCAGTCCGTGCCGTATCAGCATCCCTTATCGGCGACGAAGCAGAGATAACCGTGTTACTGCTGAGCAATCCGAACCGGCCCTGACGAAATTAAACGACCCTGACGATCCGTAACTATTCTTTACGGAATTAGAAATGTATGGCGTGGAACCTGAGGACTCGACAAACGGCGATTTGAGAGTCAACGCAGTACTGTATCTCTACGTCTACACTGTAAAGAAGGTATTATTAAGAACGTGAAAAGCTCAGTGAGAAAAAAAGTATCCTTTTTTAATTGAACGAAGTGAAGCATCAGAAAAATTCCAATCTTGGTAGGATAACGACCATTCTTACTCCGAATAAAAATAGGTGGTTGAGAGTTGAGTGTGGAAAGATCAACATTGCCGTGTCGCACTCCACCATGTTACAATAAGATAGCTATGAACGAGTACCACGCTCCTCACTATTTATCAATAAGGTCAATCATCAAAATATCAGATTATAAACATTCGTTTTGAACTAACTGCACACACTACTCACAATTCCTAAACACAAACGCACTTTAAGGCTAAATGCACCGAAAAATACTTGTAGGAAAATCCAATAGATCGCAGCACTATCACAGGGGAATTTACTTTTCTGATAACGTCTGAATCAATGGTCCGATATTCGATTTGTAAGCGGCATTTGACGCCTTTTTAAAATAGAATTTACGCTACATTGATCTTTTTCCAGAAATCTAGCAAAAACACGAATTTGCAATTAGTTCTGAAACTTCCGAGAACAAATTTAAAAATGTGGCTTTATAGCGCGATGCGACATGCTTCCTGAATCCAACGCCGCGACAATCATGCAAATCGGACGAATAGGAGCGTCGTAAATGGAAATTTACGAAAACACCTCGCCCCCCCCCCCACTTCTCCTTCTGCGCCGTTGCGTCACCCATCCGCCCGTTGTGGGCCCTCTGTCAGCGCGGTGTCAGCGCGGTGGCCCGGCGTCGTGCGGCCACCCCGACGGAGGAAGCGGTACTTGCGGGACACGCAAGCCACACACTCGGTTTATTCGTTCGTCACTTTGCATCTCAATCTACTTTTCCACGGATATCAAATTAGTGATGCTATACTACTATTACTGACTGAGGTAATCGGTCTGTAATAGTAGTACATAACTATCTTTTTCACATATTTCAGTCTTCCTTCGAATACCATTTTAAAATTTTTTGATGCATTACTCAAAATATTGATTCCGATTTTTAAATATTTTTTTTAAAAAAAGAAACTAATTGTGTAAATATCAGCATTATTCCATCTCCTCACATCTTATTTTAGATATATTTTACTTGTAAGATCTTCTGTTATCACTCCAAATTGGTCTAAGATCTTCCGTTGTCAAATACCGTAAAAATTGAGCGCACGAGCTTTTTTTTTTCTTACATCTCGATTTTTGATCTCAAAACGACGTTTATCTGCTTTAAAAAGTGCATCTGGTGAACCTCTTTTCGCAAGTAAAATAGCCGAAGCTAATTTTAAAAATGTTTTCGTACTTTCGGACCAATTTAAAAAAATGCATTATCTTGGCTGTCCGGGTGACGTCGCGTTGAAGGCTGTTTTGCCGACGTTTCGACCATTTTGTAGTGGTCTTCCTCTACGACCCTTCGATTTATAGAGGAATATACTGCACTGTAATTCAAGTACAATATGGTCAAAGAATTGACTCTTTGTAGACATTTCTTTCAATAAAACTGCACCACTCTTCAGTGCAAGAAGTCACAGAGACAACCACTTATTTTTCATAATTTACATTTTTCATGTCACAAACATCATATACTAAATTTTAGAATTACGTTGGTCTGTCACAAAAGCTTGGTGTTATCTTTTTTTATCTGCCAGAATAGTTTTTTATCTGCCTGTGACCCAGCAAGTCGATCTTGTGGGCGATCAACTCAGTAAGTCGATCATGTGGGGGATCGACCCAGCAAGTCGATAAAGTGGAAGAATAGCCCAGCAAGTCGATCAAGTGAGAGATCGACCCAGCAAGTCGATCAAGTGGCAAATCGACCCAGCAAGTCGATCAACTGGGTGATCAATCCAGCAAGTCGATCAAGTGGGGGATAGACCCAGCAAGTCGATCAAGTGGAAGAAAAGCCCAGCAAGTCGATCAAGTGAGAGATCGACCCAGCAAGTTGATCAAGTGAGGGATCGACCCAGCAAGTTGATCAAGTGAGGGATCGACCCAGCAAGTCGATCAAGTGGGGGATCGACCTAGAAAGTCGATCAAGTGGGGGTCGATCCAGCAAGTCGATCTGACTATCCTGAGTATTATAACTTTAATTATTTAAACATTTCAAATACAAAGACCAAAGTGATGGCATTTACGGAAAGACATTATACGTACTTTTTGAAAAGTATGATATGTGGCAAGTTGGTTATTTTAAATATTTTAACAATAATATAACCTTTTTAACAGAGGTAGATCTAGATGAAAAAATCCGAAATTCCAGAAATATACTGATTTCTCTAGCGAGAGGGAGAAGGGATAATCACGCTGACACCGGGATTGCTGCGTCATCGGTAAATTGTCGAGTTCCATGGTTTATCTTCCTACAATCTTGTTATTTCTCTTTGTAAGATTTGATCTCGTAAAGTAATGTGTGAATTTACGTTACATATTTCGTAAATAATTATTACAGTTTTCATTTTCGATCTATTACAGGCAAATTTTCTCTTTCTCTCTCTCTCTCTCTCTCTCTCTCTCTCTCTCTCTCTCTCTCTCTCACACACACACACACACAAACACACATTGAGATTTTCGTACAGAAACAAAATATTCCTGAATTTGTAGTTCAATTATAATTGAATAGTTATATAATGACACGGTCTGTACACAGAACAAACGGTTGCGAAGCTCGGGCCAAGTGCAGGTGTTGCGGTTCAAGTACCCGAGTGCGGGCGATAGTCTGGGTGCAGCTCTCGGAATGCACCTAGCCAGCGGAATTCGTTGTACACGGCCAAAACAAATTAACTAATGTGTGTGCCGACCGGCCATTCTCTAGCGCGTGAGGTGTTTCCCGTTAAGGTGTTTCAAGGCCAATCTCTCATCATGGGAGATATTACAAGGTGGGGGAGTGGCGCGGGTCAGGATTACGCTCGTCTCCCGTAGTATGTCTTCATCATGATCTTCCAGTAACCCACGCAGCGCTGTTTCAACGGCGGCGATGACGTCATCAGTAGGGATCTGCTTGTGGGTGACGGCGAAATTGAGCCGGGAGAGTACTGTAGTTGTGGCAGGGTCAAACGTTTCGCTGGTCAAGTTGACTACTGTGTTGCGGAGGACGACTTGGACTTCCGGCTGAGCACATTTATGCTGTAAGTCGGTAAATTTTCTCACCTGTCGGCTTCTCGCGGTGTCTAGCGAACTAACAGCGTTGTTGGATGATATGCAGTCAAGTCTGTTCCAGTCTTCAGGCCGTAGGGAGTGGCTGATATTCAGGTGTAATGTGTAAAGTTCCTGCTCAATAGCCGCGATATCCGATCGTGTGTGGTGGATGCGCTCCCGTAGTTGATGTTCGCTGGTACGCCGGAGGATCCGTTGAGCCGCTCTGGTCTTGATGTGATGAGAAACATTGAGAAATTTGGGAAGGGCATTGCAGTCACGGCAACATAAAAGGAAGGCGAGTTGACAGAGCCTCTTAGCGCGAGCAATCCTCAGTTGGCTGAATCTTCTGGTGGATTTAAACATACACTCCCCGTAAAGGTCCGTTATATGGGCTCGTAGGCTTCCATTCGTAGGGAGATTAACACGCCAACCTCTTGGCAGCAGTATAGCTCTGAAGAAGGCCACAGCAAGATGGCCGAAACGTCAGTCCAATCAACTGAGACGCGGCTCATCCCGGATAGCCAAGAATACATTGACTCCGGCTGCGGAAGCCTACGAACCCGTAGCACCGCTTTAACCACCGGGCCTGGCCGTCCCACCGCGCTGACAGAGGCCACACAACAGGCGGGTGGGTGACGCAACGGCGGAGAAGAAGAAGAAGAAGAAGAAGAAGAAGAAGAAGAAGAAGAAGAAGAAGAAGAAGAAGAAGTGGGGGGCAAGGTATTTTCGTAAATTTCACTTTAAGACGCTCCTATTCGTCCGATTTGCATGATTGCACCGCGTTGGATTCATGAAGCATGTCGCCATCGCCCTATAAGGCCACATTTTTAAATTTGTTCTCTGAAGTTTCAGAAATCTAAAGTCAAATTCGAGTTTTGTTAGATTTTTGGGGAAAGGTCATCTATTATATTACTTATTAAAAGGTAAATTATATTTTAAAAAGGCGTCAAATGCCGTTTACAGATCGAAAATCGGACCATTGGTTTAGACGTTATCGGTAAAGTAAATTTTACTTATTTTGGTGCTGCCACGTGGTGGCTACAAATTGTACTAGTGTCGGGACATTTAGCCTTAACACAATCTCATTATCGACACGTGTATGGATGTTCAACTAATGAAATTCAACATTCCGGAATCCATTTGTTCTATTAATTGAGATAGAACATTACAAATACAGTAGATTCACTGTTGATTAGGTCAGGGCTCTCGCTTTACCATGTGACCACGATCTGTCAACCACCTTGTAGAAAGGGTCAGCGCAATAGAGGTCTAAGCCACGTTTTAAGAAGACTAAGAAAAATTAAGTTAATAAAGTTACATAGTTGTGGTTAGGAAAGTTGTGAGAAGAAAAAAATAGTGACTTAACTCTCAACTTCATAAAGGGAAACTGGTCAAATTCAATAATTCACAAAGATAGTTCACCTCCTTAGTCAACAAATGGTGTCAATAACTCAATTTTAATTTTGTGGGTTAGCCCACTATTGCGCTCAGCCCTATAATTTTATTTGTGATATTGTGTGCAATGGCGTCGAGGATTTGCGCGCGCGCTGTTGCAGTGGCGTACGGCAGCACAGCTGCCTTCTTCCTGGGCTGCAGCGTCCTCAGCCTCGTGGAGTTAATCTTCCTGCCGCTACGCGCGCTGTTGCTGGGCGTTCCCGACCCTTCCCCCCCACCCGTCCTCGTTCCACGCAACCCCCGAATTGCCCATCTCCGACGCCTGCCTTCCAGGTGGAGTTAGCTAGCTCTTAGTAGTTACGGCTAATGTACGAATCTTGCTAATTCGCCGGTTAATGTTCACATCATCCAAACTTATTATCTTCGGATAAAGTCAGAAGTACGAAAAATTTGAATCGTTCTTCGGACTTAACCGGTCGACGTGTACATTAGTCAACAGCAGGTGACAATGCCCTACCCACCTCTTCAAGTGCATCGCGATGACGTAGTACAGCGGATGCACTCCGATTTAATCACAAAGTCAACCTTGGATCAGCTGCACGCGGTTATCCATTCCGGAGCTTTGTTGAGACTTAATTTTTTCGTACTGAAGCTCCCGATTGGATAACCGCGACCCAGTCGAACGTTAGAAATCAATATAATTAAATCGGAGAACAGCGTGTGATAAATAGGAATCATACTACTGATGGGAGGTTTCTAAGACTAGTGACAGGCAAGGTGTGCAGTTTCGTGTTCTACTGTGTCAGCCGTAAATGTTGAATTACACGGTAACTCCGAACCTAACCTCACTACATTCCAGTTGCCGCTTTGATGCGCATTTTCGAGTTCTGCCGCCTTATGGATCACACCTTATCTCTGAAACGCATGATTTCAAACGCATTGCTATGCCAAAATACCACTTGCGAATACACAAATCTTATAAGTCACAATCACTTTACTAATACCAACATGAGACGGATGAAGTCCGAAATGTCGCGTTCACCGCGTTTCATACAACTGTATCCACGCCGTTTAGAATGGGAGAATTTACCGACTACACCTAACTTTAATCATATTTCGGACTTACGAGGTAACATATCAATCCCAGACAAATGTTAATAACTATTAAATAAAATGGTCAAACCTCGATATCTTCAAGTGGCTCAGGAGATAAAGTGTACGTCAATCGATTTCATATTTAGAAAACGAAACCTCTCAGTCAACAAAATTCTCATACCCTCTCATTCAATTTTTTAAATTGAAGCTTCTAATTGGATAACCACGTCTCAGCTGATCATCTGTCAAATAGAATTGTATTTTAATAGAAGAAAAACAATATGTTGAACGGGATGTTTTTACTACTGTTTCCCGTAATCTAGATGCTCTATCTGGATGAAATCGTAAAAGCTTATAAACTCAGATGGTAAACCATCTATTCAGATTGCTTTCGGATGGTTACTCTCGCCTCCTCTGACATTAGATAATAACAGTTAAACAAATAATGTCGAAGATATTTTAACAAATATCTACGATAAAAATGATTTGACAGGAAATGTTGAATCATTGTTATAAATCGCGTTGTATGAGTAAATATATTTATAAACAAGATATACTACATTACAAACTATCAAAAAACATATATTTTCACTGTGATTCGACTTGCGGTTTTGTAACTAATTCTTAATGATGTTTCAAATGAAGTGTTATCTCCATTCTTCAAGACATTCATACTGTATGATTAGGGCATCACATAAGTCACTAATTATATCATCATGCATTAAATCCCTGGGTAAGAACAACCAAGACAACCTTGACAAGAATTCCTTCATTTCTAGCTATTAACAACTTCTACATGTGGTCTACTGTTTGGTGTACATGTTGTTCTCTGTTGTATAGTCAAGCTTGTAGTGTTTCCATAATAATCTTTTTTAAGATAAGCAATTTTATGGTTAAGCACACACTGTAGATTACCTTCAGTTTTAGGAAATTAAAAACATTCTTCCCATTTATTCTGAATATAACCGACAATAATACATAACTATTAATGCCGCTTGCTTCCTTTTCTGCGTTGTACGTACACATTTTGAAATGTGTCTCGTGAAACTGAGCCCTCTGAACCTTTGCCTGTATCCTTGACGACCTGGAACTGACCCTGCCCTTGATATCGCTTCCTCAGTTTGACAGGTCGCAAGGCAGAAGAAAGGGTTTAGCCGAATAAGGGGGTGAAAAGTGCGCCCGAACCAAATCGATAATCGCGATACTCACATGAAAGAGAATGGAAAATGTACATTCCCAAAAATCAGCCTCCTAGGGCAATATGTTACACAGATACAATGAGAAATGTGTTTTTAATGTTTTATTTCTTTCAGCTTTCATTGTATGTATCAGGCTGATAAAAATTGGAGAAACGGAGAAAAATAGTTGAATTTGAAGGCATTTTTGGCAACAATTTTGACGCCGGCTGGGGCGGTCTCTCGCTGGTGGGAGATACCGGGTTGGAGAAAACCCCGCTAGCCTACGATAGGTCGACGCCGGACATCCCCACTCAGCGGGGAAGAGACCACAGCCTCTTCCCGAGCAAAAATATGCACTACATTAACGGGATCATTAGTTGACGTGCCTGGAATCACTAGCAATCAATTAAACAAAACATTAAACATATATGTATAACTATGTAAGAATCACTCCGTTACGCCAATTTTTTGCAAATAGTTTAATCATGCATCACATTTTAAATTTAATTTATTGAAAAATGTAGTATTTAATATTTTTTGTAAAAACAATTGGAGGCCCTTGAACATTGGAGGTCGTAGGCCCAGGCCCTTAGGGTCCGTGCGTTAACGCGGCACTGCTCGCGCGAGGATGACATTCGAGAGTGTAATGGCGGCGGCGACTCAGCACGCTATCTATCTCCTCCTTCCTACCTTTTAACTACAATTACAGTCGTACTTGTTGCCTTGTTGGTTACTGACTTGTGCAAAGTCAAAAATTTTAAGTTAATATCTGGGGGCGCCAACTAGATATTGCACGGAATTTCGTTAAAACCTGACAATCTTTTGACTGGTTTACCAAGATTCTCTTGACTGGACAGACGAAGAAACTCGGACATCTGGCAACCATATCCGTCAGTTTGTTTGCCTTTGGCTGTAGCGATGAAGATTTCAGCAAGGAAAAGTCGACGTCGTAAGTTTTATTTCATCTTCACCTATCTTGTAGTTTAATTTCGAACACAATTGATATTATTTGAAGGTCGTAGGATTGGTGACGGAAGGGGAAGCAAAACAGTTTTACTCAGTATTTAATTTCTTGATAATTGATATATTTCGTACATAATTGTTCTGGATATAACACGAAGAAATATTTTGATAAGAAATTATTTGCTAATTACTCTTTTTCAATAGCACGCGATGAACACAGATGGAAGATCAAAAGTAGTTTGTAAAAGTTTTTGAATTATTGTGCAAAATGTGAAGTGATTTTTAATGGAATATGTTCATTTTAAATATAAAATAATGTTATATACAATGAGTTAAAATATCAACAGTAGCATGGTTCTATTTACATTGTTAGTTACATTATAAGTCTCTTGGGACTTGGACTTTTTGATAACAATTTGTTAGCACCCATTAATCTCTTCTTAACCATCCTGTCATGACATCGCTTCATCTCCAATATCTCCTTCATTTCACTCTTGTCTTCTTCCTGCAGCAGACAGAAGCAACATATCATGTGTAATTATGTTCGAGTGAGAGCAAGACCATGGAGACCGATTAAATGACTATTGTATATTACCAATGAGTTGGTTTAGAGAACATTTGATGGTCATAGACTATTTCTTTTATTTCTATGGACCAACTAAAACCTATATTTGTGTATGATCTATGAATTTAATTTTTTTTATCACACCATTTACAATTTCCACTTGACAAATAACTTTACTTGCGCCTTTTGGTATTTGTTTATAGGCCATAGGATTTTACATGTCTGAATGTATTTTGTAGAATAACAGGATAAAATTAATGAATTGGCTATTAATTATTATTCAAAACTTTTCTGGTTTTCTGTAATAATTGTGTATGAAAGTACATTTCATTTATAATCATTCAGGTGCATATGAAATACTTGTAGCTAACATAAACGTTATATAATTCCATCAACTGATTGGTATTAAGAAAGAAAAATGAACTTCCTATTAGTAAACTGATATTGTACTAAAACAGACTCAATGGTTTTCATTGTACTCTTAATTTCTTTGATGAAATTTTACAAGTGTAAATTAAGTGTCACACTTACTGACTGACTTAATCTCAATACCAATGCTCGACGGCCATCAGACATAGGTTGAGAGTAGAGCATTAAATTTTTCAATCTTTCAGAAGGACTCACACCTCTTTCCACCACCAAAACTATTCGTGCCCACTATAAGAAAAAGAAAGTTAATTTATTGCAATTGTTACCTTTTAAAAAAAAACAACAATAAGCCATACTGACTAACATTGTCAGTGATGTTAAGAAGGCTCAATATACCTGACGTTGCCATTCATTTCTTGTTTCAGCAATTTTTTGATATGTGTTCCCCATCATAGCAATAAGTAAATTCACCAGGAGGATAGCAACAATGGCCATGAATAACACAAACATCAACTGAAATTCAGAAATAGAAAAGAAAAAAGATTATAGGTTAAAGACCATAGCTAAAATCCATTAATTTTCATAAATGATTGTGAATGCTTTATGATTATAGTCAGAACAAATTTATTGAACAAAATTTTTCCACTTCCTTTCAGGTACCTTAGCTTCCCATTCATGGTCTGTTTTTTCAAAGGCTGCATAGTAGTCTCCAAATGTTGCCATAGACATGAGAAACATAGCCATTATAGACTCAATGGGGTTGGGCATTGGATTGGATACAGAGTCATCTACTCCTTCGGGTGTACTTGGATTGTCAAATGTCAAGAAAATAATGTAATAGGCTGTTAATGAAACAGATACATTTCAATACATATTAAGAATAATATAATTCTATTATTTTTTGTAAATAATTGGTAGGCTTTGATTATATTTATGACACTATACCTTGTGAAAATCCCATTACAAACACCAAATATATTGTTACAAATCGAAGCAGATCACCAGTGACCATACGATATATCATTACTACGAAAGGTCCTACAGTTTTGAAGCCTCTAGAAGAAAATGAATGGATATTTTATAGATTTCATAGTTATACAAAACTAATTGATTATAAATTAATACAGAAATGTTAAAAAGGAGTTCTTACATTAGCTTTTAGTAATTGATTATAATATTTTAAAGAAATTAACTATTTAAACAATATTTGACTGTTAATCTATAATAGAAATACAATGTAAGATCACGTAAATAGAAAAAAAATTAATATCTAAAACGATATTGTGCAGATCTATATTTCTGAGAATGTTCTTTTGTGGGCAAAAATAGATATTTAAAATGTGCATTTTCTTGTACCTGCAGAAAAATAGAAAGTATGGAGATGTAGTCATCATGATTAATACAGCAACTACATCTTCAAATTCAGTTGTACAGGAAAATCTTAAAAGGGGCATAAATAGCATTAGTGTGCATGAGAATAAAAACATCACTCTTGATGGTGCAGTCATCTGAAAGAAAGTATCAGTAATAATTAAATTCTTTTACGTTAAATATTTATCTAACCACTTTTAATTTTTCTTATCTTTTTATTTTTTTAATTGTAATTCACATTTTATTATCATACCAAATTTTCAATGAACATGTTTAGTCCAAGAAAGCGGGCTTCCCGTAATGCTGCTAGAATGTAGAGAATAGCTCCCAGCAGCATGCAAAGTTCAGCAACGATTCTAATTTTTGCTTCATATGTTGAGAATTGAATTAATGGACACTCCTCTTGTAACTCATTCCACCAATCATCATCATTGGAGTCAGGTTCATCAGTTGTGTTCTAAATAAGAAATATATTTAACATTTGATTTTGAAAAGTTCTATAATTTATTAAACTTTTCATTGAAATATATGATGATCATGGAGTCTTCTGAATATTTACTTCTGATCCAAATGTGTGTTAATATTCATAAATCAATGTAATAATTACCTTAACTCCATTAAGAATTTTTTGAAATACATTCCATGGATCTGCAAAAAAAATTGATTCTGTATCAGATACATTTTCTTTTGTGTCATTTTTTCTTCCAGGTGTTTCAGTAACTGTCCTCTTCATCTTCAATTCATTTTCTGACAAAACTGTTTGTGAAGAATTCATTGTAGTGTATTCCCTTTTGCCATCGTAAGAGGAATTAATAGATGTATCTTTTTCTATTATTGGTGTTTCTTCTGTAGTTGCAATATAATTGGTTTTAAGTTCAGCTAAATTAGAGCTATTCTTTTCTGAATATTCTTTCAATATACTTTGAAAATTTGGATTCATTAAATACGGAATAGGAGTATTTATGAATTTTTCATTATATTTAATATTTATCACTTCTTTTGGGTCTTCTAGCGGAGTAGTATAGCTGTTAGTTGGAGTAACAGAGTAGGTAATGTTTGTGGGCATTGTTGGAGCTGAAGTGTTTGTAGGGCTTGTTGGATGTTGTTGAGGCCCTGGCCTTAAGGTGAAGCATATTAAAGAAAATAAGAAGTATAAGGCAAAGGAGAAAAACTGACGATAAAATCTGGAAAAGGAAAATCAGGCATGTAATATGACTTAAAAGTATAATTTGCTATAGAAACTAATCTAGGTATGCATTTTGTCTTGAACCCCCAGATTCCCTACTATTTTCTCTTGCTACACTATGAGAAAAAGTTGAAGAGCAACATTGGATAACAAAAAATCACTCATTTATAATGCAACTTTTTGTATCAGAAATATAAGCTAGGGACTCATTTGGTTTGATGTTACAGTTGAAATAATAATAAAAGTCTGCAATTGTTAGTTAAACAACATAGAGAGTATGAAAGATAGGAACCATCTCAACAATTGCTCAATTGATGAACGAAAACTAGGCAAAAAACCTGATCTATGGTTGTAAAGTACGTGTAATTAGAGATCTCGAATATCTATGAAATTACTCCTACAGAGTAAAGTTCTGTAATAAGAATAATGCACGTAATTGTTCATTAATGTTGAAAAGAGAAGGTTAAATTTCAAAGAAAGTAATGAACATTAATTTTCTGTAATTGACTACTTTTAAAAATTTTGAGAACTTACATTAAAGGTCACAGATAAAATAAATATTCAATGAAATATAGTCTAAACATCCTGGAGAACAGTAAATTGATTCTTATTAAAATGAAATTCATTAATGATACAAGAAGTAGAAAATTTCATTCATTAATTTTATTTTAATGAAGAGAAAAGGTAAATTTAATTAATGAGTTATACCTGAATTTAACAAACGTGTTCCATTTTGCATGAAGTAGATCCACAAGGAAACCTTCCATTAACTCTAAATGTTCATCTTTGTCCTGAAATTGCACAAGAATTTGGAAAAAGATTAATTAATAAACTCATCAATAACCAAAAAGTTATCATAATATTTTGACCATGTAACATTACCCTTTCATATTAAAGACTGAGAACAAGAGAAGTGGTTAGGGAATAGTAGTTTTCATAAAAAAATGTCTTTGTTGATTGAAAACTGTTTTAAGTGGTTGTAAATCTGTAGTCCTTAATACAATTTACTAGATTTTTTACTTTAAATAAACAGAATTATATAACGTTTAAAGAAAGTTTTTTAAACCATATCTAATTCGATATTTTATCTTAAAATTTATCTAATTCTCTTATTTGTCTTATTCTTTGTTCTCAGTTAAATTTAGTAAGTCATGATACACCTACCCCAAATACAACCAAATTCAAGGCAGAATCTTTACTTATTTTACCAGTTTCAATATCAATTGTATCTATCTGTGATAAAGGATATGCTGCACAAGTTATACTACCTGAAAAGTAAATTTTAAAGTAAAATGCAGAATTATTGAATATAAAGCAATAAATTTACTTCATTTGTTTATTAATAAGTGTCAATATCAATATAATAGTAAAATTTATTGAAAAATCTGAGTTTTCATTGTAGAGTTGAAATAAATACCAGAAACAGTTGAAATAAATACCAGAACATGTTTGAAAATCTGGTTTACATGCTGATGAATGATCAGTCATGGAAAGTGTAATGATTAACTGAGCTGTGTGTGACTAATCAAAATGAATTCCCAACATAAAATTACTGAGTTTACACAAGCAAATTTGTTATCCAATTCACATTATTCTCCAGATTTTGTTTCTAAATGAAGTCATTATTGAAATCTGATAACTTCTGAAAATTTAATAATATTTCAATTACAATAATTATATTGTTGTTGTCAAGCAACTAATACAAAACAAACAACCAAACAAACAAGGAACATATAGGGTGCGAAGGCTCTTTTAAGGACTTGAGGACTCTTAAGTAAATGTTTAAAAATATTATCGTAAATACAGAATATTTACAAAATAGTGCATAATATGTATCAAACCCTTCCAGCATGATACTTTCAGGTTTTGAAAGATTATTTTGATGTGGTGTTCTTGCTACATAACAGAATAGTTCAGAAGTGGAAGATTTCATTTATTGCAGACTATGCTTTTTGATAAATAAATTGAAAATCTTATTTTGGGATAGAATATTGACACTTGTAAATATTACAGATAGAATTACTACTTACCAATTTGCCAATAAATTTCTCTTTCAATGTTCAAAATGTGGAAAAACATTTCAATACGAGCTAGTTTAGCTGCCAAAGTAAGTGGAGTAAGATTTAAAACATTTCGAATGTTAATTGCTGCTCCAAGTTCATATGCCATATCAAAAGTTTCCTGTGAAGGAAAGCATGCTTGAATGAAAGAAGAACTATACACAAAACATATTGTTAAGAGAAAAAGTGTGTCTTTGAGGAAATACTAAAAAAAGGTTCATTTCAAATCTCAACCATTTAATATAGTGATAATTATTTTTTCTTTACATATTGAAGGAGCATTAGAAAATGGAGGGATCTTTTCTTTCTACTCTTGAGAATGATGTTCTTTATTGCGATTGCTTAAGTACATTGGTACTTTGGCTCCTTTCAACTTTCAGGTGGCCCCATTGGAGAGAGATTTATAACTTAAACTTTAGAGCAATGATAGGCTCTCAAAAGATTTCTTTTTAAATGAAATGTGTAGGTGATGGTCTTAACAGTTATATATGGTCTGTGTGCTATAAAGCCACCCTTTTAACCCGTATGAACCCACTTTTAACTTTTCTATGTTTAACTCCTACTCACATCATTTTTCTATTTTTGTGTATTTCATTTGGACAGAAACATGCTCAATGAAAGTTATTATAAAATTAAATGAGAAGTTAAACTCACAAGCTTTTCATAAATGACTAGCATGTGTAAAACAGTATTTCCATTTGTGTCCTGGGCATCAGGATTTGCTCCTCTTGCTAGAACCAAACGATAACATTCTTCTTGTCCAAGACATGCAGCAAACGATAATGGATATTCTCCCCAGTAAACATACCTAGATGCAAAGAGAAGCATTTGGGTGATTACTCAGAGCAGTACTATTTTTTTTAATGAGCCCAAAGAGGCTGCATATAGGATGTCAGATTTGCAAAACATGATTATTTGTTTTCTTTTCAATAAATATACACAATTTTGGTTTTCAATTTTATCATGGGAAAATAAAATTGATTACAATGGATTTCACCTATATCTAACTACTCGGTGCTATCTCTAATCAAGGTATCTAATTTATTTGTATTGTGGTTTGTGACAGAGTTTAAGACAATAATGTAGTGATTGGAACTTTTACGTAATTTGGGATTTTCTTTCGTACCACATAATATGAAAAGTATTTATTACAATACATTTGGAATATTTTGTTCATAGAATAATATACAATGAAAATTCAATTCATTTAGACAATTTTATTAATTACATAGACACAATTATTTCTTTATTTTTATGTTTACACACACATTTAAATTCTTAGGCTACTGGTTTACTGATATGGTATTGTTTTGTTTCTTTATGGTCATCAACATTTAAAAAAACCTCATTTGAATTAATTTGCAAAGCTTTAATGAGACTTTATTGAAGTGTAATTGGTGCTTGACTATCATGAATTATAATGTTTAATTATGGAATGTGTTCTCACCCTTCATAATTTGTAAGTGTGCATACATTCACCCATTCATGATCCTGTGAGTCATTTCTTGATGCTTTCTGATCTTCTGGACTCATGAAATTCCCAAAACATCTCTCATGAACGTCGGCTCCACTGTCCAAAAGAAATTTTACCATTGCTGGATCTTCATTGACTATTGCTACATGCAAAACACTCTCTCCTGCAAAGAAAATAAACAATAATTTGGTTAATAATGCATCACTGCCAGTTGTATTTTCAAAGAATGGAAATAAATTATTTAAACTAGTGCATAATATGTTTGTGGGTAAGTATTTTGTAAAATATTTCATATTTCTAATATACTGATTTTTTTCTGCATAGGAACAAATTTGAAATGTGCATCATTTTGTGGTAAGTTAAATCGCTTTGATACATAGAAGTTTATTTAATAAGTTATTGATACATTGAAGAATGTTTATCATTACAGTACTTTATATTTTCTGAATCATCCTTTATAAGTCCATTAAACTAATTTAATCAGTATGTTCTGATGTATGAGCACTCTGTCAGTGTGTTCTACTTAATTGATCACACAGGATCTTGAATCATTAGCAGACGGTTGCTTGCCAATCATACAATGTTAGCTTGCCAGATGAAGATGGTGAAGTACTAATTCACCTGTTTTTTAATTGCCTAAAATTTCTTTTTCTTGAATTTATTTTGATTTCTTTATTTGTCTCGAAACAGTCAATGCCTGGTCTTTGAAATTGGCGCGTTCCTTTAAGTTTATTTTCCCTTTCCGGGAGCTTCAGGCTAATTGGACCTCGTGCTCAGCACATTCTGCCCTGAAGCTCGCGAAAATGTTCATAGTAAAGGAATGGTTGCCATGAAAACGGAACATTAGATACATTATATTTGGCAAATAAAAACGAGGGCTATGAGTACCAAGGGCTCGTTTCCACGACATAGTGATTATTTCTCAACATCCTTGTGGGAGGGTACAAGGCGAAGGAAACGTGAGAGACCTTGCCAAACCCAGTGAGTGGCGCAATGAGTTTTTATTTTCTAGTCTTCTACTCATGCAGTGTAGAGAAAATATTGTAATGCTGCCGCGAAGGTGGCGATTTTTCGGGAGAAAAATCGTATTGTAGGTCCCTGATGCCGAAGAGAGAATCATTGTTGTTTCTGTATGTAGTAAATTACCTCCTTTAATGCGTTGTGTAGATGGAAACCACGTTTTGTGAATCCTATTCCGACAATTTTGTTTACGGCAAAACGTCCGTCTGTTTGTAAAGAATGCTGTCTAAACCATTGGCAGGATTTTCACCGAAATTGATATTCCCCAATCGATCTATTTGATGACACGATACTTTGATTTTAAAACGGATATTTTGATTTTTAGGAGTAATATACATGAGTTTCAAACGTTTTCTAAACTTCCTAAAAAATGGCTCCAAATTTGTTTCTTTAAATCATTTTCTCAATTAGCTTATACAAATATTTTATTTTTTCAGCGACTTCTTACATTTTCAGTATTGAAGACAGATTTTTGTAATAAGATTCCGTTCTTCAAAACCAGGTTTTGAATGAAAGACATGGACATTTTTTCGAAATAAGAGTAGTTGTTTGCGTATTTTGCGTGACAAAGTGCAATATTAAAATATTTTTCTAAAAACGGCTTCATATGCGAATAGTGCTTAATACACAGAATAATGTGTCGTAAACCACATTTTGATCTATTTTTTTTATGTTTTGGAAATTACACAAACTTAGTTTGAAATATCTCTTACCCGTTTATATTTTACAATTGTACTATACGTGAGTTTTAGACTTAATTGCATTTGAGTGCTTCAAACGAATTTTTATGAAGTTCCTCGAATACTCAAAAGTTGTCTGTAAAAATGAGCTGAAAATTGTTCTTTTTCAGAAACGCTCAAAGTACATTTTCTTAACGACAGAACCAAATTTGTCCATGAAAATGTGCACAGAGTATCGGATTATACTTCTCTATATTATTCTTAAAGTCAAATTTCCATTCTATTTTTAGGGGACCAAAAGATTGAGAAAATATGAAAAATATACCTAAAATATGATATAAATAATACATGAAAGTAAACTAAGCCATTCTGTTAACAGATACGTGCTGTAAATACTCGTATTATGTTGTAAAACATTTTTGTAGAATTAATGCTTAGAAAATTCATTACTGAGTGCGATGATGAACAATTGTGAAGCTAATGTTTCTTTGCATTGTTGCTATGGAAAATAATGGTGTCAAAACTAATCAGATATACGTATTTATCATTGTGAAGAACATTTAATTCTGTGTATGAATTAAAAGGTCAGTTTTAGTTACATTATTAATTTTATCATATTGTATTTCAAAGCTGTAACACATTTAGAATTTGAACAGTGAAGTGATTGGCGCTGTGAGACAGGAACTTGGGGCAGATGAGACAAAGTACATGGACACTTTATGCTGTGGGTTCAAAACCCTTGTAAGAGATGAAGTAGTGTTCGTGACGTGAGGGGGGATTCTAGTATCTGTGTGCTACACGTACACTCTATTCCTTCCAAAATCTCTTCGCCTGACAGACAACTGTATGTATGTGTACATCTGATTGAGGAACTGGATCCCCACACCCAGAATAATAGTACAAGCACCGAGATGAGGCCCAATAATACCATGGGGCAAATATGTAAAAGTGCAGGACCGAGATAGGTCTAGGTGATATTCGGGGAGCACGAAGACGCTCTCCACTGTTAATGTGCCCAGAGGAGCGGCAGGCACTTTTAAGGTCTTTTCATTGGTCTTTTAAGCGGCAAGAGTCGACAGCGGCTCAAAACGTAAAAGCTAACCCAGACTCAAAATAATACGAAATAAATTAGTGACAAAATGTTTTGAGACATTCTAAAACACCACTAACTCTATTTATTAACAAAGGAACAAAATAACACAGAAACATTATATGAAACATGGGGGAGAATCAACTGATGTAACTACACTGCCTATGATCGAGAGGTCCTAAGGTTCAAGTTGCGGTGGGATTTTCGAAACTAGTAAGATAGCTGGGTAGAATTCAACTGCTCTCTGGAGGAGAATTCTAGCGGACGGCTGCTCTGATCGGTACTTTTCCGTAGTTTCTCCCATCAACACCAGGCGAATGCCGGAGCAGTACCCTAACAAACGGGCCACGGACGACTCGTGATTTTTCCTTTCCCTGGAAGACGAGTCGGGAGCTCAGAGCGTGTCCCTGCTGGTGGGAGATACGCGGTTGAGGAAAATCTTGGTAGCCGATTGTGCTAAATGCACACTATAAGATGATATTAACGCCATATTGCCCTATTCTATTTTTTCAAAAAATTACAAAATGTAATTTTTTTACTTTTTCCTCACGTTAATATTTACATTTGCGGCGATTTGTTCACATTATTATATTTATGAAAATATGTGCTTTAAATAAAGTCTTATAAAGTTTTTCAGAAACTCAACCGTTGTGTGAAAACTAGCTAAAAATTCCGTATTTTCAAAAACGTCCAACCTCCATTTTCTTAAAGAGAACTGCTCCAAATTGTTTCTCCAAACTCTTTGAAAGGGTAGTACTACTGCACTGTTTAATATGACGTAAAGATCATTTTAGAGTATTTTTTGTTTTTTCAATAATTTCACAAATGTAATATTTTTGAAAGATCTCTCACGCAGTTAATATGCACATTTCCAACAATTTGTAAACACTGTTCTATTTGTGACTCAAAGTATTTCAAATGACAGTAAATGAAGTTTTTCAAAAACTCGAAAATTTTTTGTGAAAAAGAATTTTTAATTTCGAATTTACAGCAGCGCGTAAACGCCAATTTTTTAAAACGGCTTCAATTTTTTCGAAGAAAATTGCAATTTACGACGGGGTTTTACTGTCCTTTAATATTCTTAAAGTAATAATTTAATTCTACAATAATAAAACTGAAAAATTGAGAAAAAAAAATTGCTTTGGGCGTCGATAGATAACAGTATGTGGTAACAGTCGCAGGTAACAGTATGTGGCAAGTTCGAATAGCTAGCGGTGACCAAAGGAAGTAAAAAACTAATACGGGAAGTCTGTGCCTTTCTGTAGCCCCCTAGTTTCATTTTTACGGCTACAACATCTGCCTGCTAGTGTGAACCCCGGGATTCGACTCCTGCCAATCCCAGGGGAAATTTTATTCCTCCAGTACACCAATGTGCGCTCGTCATGGTTTAAGTCTGATTCTCAAATAAACCTGTATATTTTCGAAAATGGATAATTTGAATCTCCCCCGCTCCATTTGCTGAAAGTGTTTCACTAGATGTGTGCATTGTTTGTTTGTCTCTGTCTCTTTTTCTCTTACTGTTACCAATAATGAATTTTCAGTGTAAGTAGTATTTAGAACCTGCCAAGGGATGGAAGCCAAACATTCCGAGGAGGGGGAGCTGCTTGTCTCCTAAGCGCCTCCTCCCGACAATGTGCCTGATTGTTAGTGGAACAGATGAGATAACTGATCGCGAAGACTGGAAGTTCGAGTTCAGCTTGCGGGCTCAACTGTGTGTAATACTCAGCTTGTGTATTATTTTAAGTCTAAATGAAGATATTGAAAGGTTGAATTCGCGGTGTTCGTATATTTTTCTAAACCGCTGAAGTTACAAACTGAATCATAGTGGATAAACTAATTTATTTTGGATTATGCAATAAATCATTTGTCCCCGGAGGTTGGCTCTAACAGAAGTCGATTGTACTTTAAAAATATTCTAGTGATGTTGGATGTCTAATGAGTGGTAATAATGACATGTATTCGTATGAGACCGTACATTATTTTGAGATGTCTAGGAATGTGGCACCAATAGAGATTTAACTTAGGGCGGGGGAGGGGGGATGGACTTAGAAGTGTGTTGCATGGAATCGTGAATGTTTCGAACAGCGGAATCTTGAAGGCCGTGCCGCAGTTCTCGTCGCGGGAGTAACGATTTAAATTGTATGTGTGTGTTCAGTTGTTCGTGTGTACGCACCGTAGTACTCGTCGCACATGTAGATGTCGTTGACGAGCTTGGGGTAGAAGCGCAGCAGGCGCTTGGCGATGTCGGCGTGCACGGCGGTGGCGTTGAGCAGGCACAGGTGCAGGATGGTCTCGCCCACGGCGCCGCGCTCGCGCAGGTCCCAGCACACGTCGCGGCAGCGCGCGGGGTCTGCGCACGCCCACGCGCACGCCCCGCGCTACACACGTTTGCGAACAGGAGTGGGTCATGCTGTACTTCAAAGAAAACAACACCAGCATATCACGAGTAAATTCTCTAGAGGTTTGAAACGTCGGTGAGTCGATCGAGAAGTTTGCGATTCGCTTTCTTTTTTAATTTGTAGCGTCAACATTGACGTAACGCGTCTCCAAGCCCATTGGGGGGACGTGAGCGCTTCGCGCGTTTGGAGTAATCCTCCATTAATTAACATAGTCCGTCACGTCTCGTCTCAGTCAGTTGTATCAAGAGGACCACCAGATAGCATCTCCGCGTACGCGTATTTCTCTTCCGCGCTCCTGCGTCCCTACCCAACGGCCAGAATTGTGAAGGAATAAGGATAGGGGTAAGGTTCAGGACGCTTCACAGGGGTTGGACTAACCCTTGTGAAGCATGCAAACTCGTTTTGTCGTAACACACAAATTCACAATTTCACGGGGTTCTACGGGGATTCTGCGGGAATCGAGCCCGGAACCTCAGTGGTGAAAAGCTAGCCACTGAGCCACGAGAGCATTTTTTAGCTTAGCGACGAGCGGATTTATCTGTGAAGTTTTACCACGAGTTCAATACGGTTTATTTCATGAATAAAAGTCATAAACCGATTAAATAATATTAAAAATAGTGAAACAATTTCTTGGTTGTCTCAGATGCTATATTGATTACTGCAGTGTCCGTTATAGACGGAATATTTATTTTACAAGAGAGTTGAACGTCATCTACAGTAGTACTATAGCGAAAAGTACACATGTGAACTTGTCGATTTTAAGCATCCGCGATTGGTTTATAACCATCTTATTATAAAATATTGCAGGATTGAAACAAATAAATAACGAGTGGAATAGACACTGAAAGACTAGATATTGAACAAAGTCATCAGAAGCGTCACAAAATATGAGATTCAATACATGAGCAGGCTTGCTAAAATGGAAACAGGGTGGACGAATCATAAGGCAAAAAGAATACCGATGAGAACATGCAACAACGATATGGTAACAAGGATCAGGTTTGGAGGCAAGGAAGACAATGTAAGAATGTCGGCAGGATGGTTTTGAATAGGCAGCAGACCCAAATGGGTACGACCATTTCTGAATAAGACATAATGAAAATTATATGTACTATTAAGACGCTTCTTCATAATGCTGCCAAGTATTGTGCTCAAACATTGCGGGTTTTCTGTAAAACGTACCGTAAAACCCTTGAAAACAATCTTGCACTACGAGGTTGAATGTGAAAACTATCACTCCCTGAAAAATTATTTCATGAAGATACGTCTCTATGGAAGTAAGCTCACAGTATTCGTATTTATAGAGTAGCGCAGCTCAGCCCGTTTTTTGACTAGTTAGGGATGCGCGCGCATACAGCTAGCGATCATGGGAAAGACGCAAGTAAAACCACGGATAGCTGCTTGTGAAGTATACGAATTTGTTTGTGAAATTGCGTTTATTAAGAGCTGATTAAAAACTTAAGAAAGATAATTCGTATTATTTCTTGACCTTGTGGTTTTATGTTTTTAGGATTTCAAGATCAAGTCTTTTAATAACAAGTACAAGTACATGGAAGGAATGTTTTAACCTTACATTTGATTTGTATCGGAACATGCACTGAAGAATCAAAAAACTGGTACAGCCATGCGTATTGAAATAAAAAATAATTCTGGAACCAATTAGAATACGGCGCTCTGCTCGGCAACGACTATATAAAACAAGAGTCTGGCACAGTTGTTAGGTCGGTTACTGCTGCTACAATGGCAGTTTATCGCGATTTAAGTGAGGTGTGAACGTGATGTTATAGTCGCCGCAAGAGAGATGGGCGTAGCATCTCCGAGGTCGCCATAAAATTTTGATTTTTCCATATGCCCATTTCACGAGTGTACCGTGAATATCGGGAATCCGATAAAAGATCAAACATCCGGCATTGCTGTGACAGCAAAAAGATCGTGCAAGATCGGGACTGACGACTGAGGAGAATCATTACACGTGGCAGAAGTGCAGCCATTTCGCAAATTGCTACAATTTCAATGCTAGGCCATCGACAAGTGTCAACGTGCGAACCATTCAAAGAGTCATTATTGATAGGGGGTTTCGGAGTCTAAGGACCACTCGTGTTGCCTTGATGACTGAACGACACAAAGCTTTATGCCTCGCCTAGGTCCGTCAACGAAGACATTGGATTGTTGATGACTGGAAACTGATTGCTTTGCATGATGAGTCTCTAGTGCTATGACGTGCGCATACAGAAGTTACATTTATATTATTACCTCCTAGTTACCTTTGTTTACTACTTAAATTACTTACATTTCTAGATAATTTCATGAACAGTATAGACATAGTTGTTCTTCCACATGATTCTACTATTCACTTTCAATAGACAATACTCATTGGATTTAAATCATTTCTTTCCTTGAAAATTGTTCAAAACTTTTACCTCGCATGTTTTAGATATACGCATTAGGAAATTTAAAAAATATAAAAGCATTTACTTTTTGGTTAGATTCAGCAGAACGAAGCTATCTTACGATTTATGAGACGGCGTAGTATTTCTTGATCACCGCGCGGATCGCTATAGTCGCTGACCAACACTACGTCATAGGACGTTTAACATGGAGCTACGCTACTGGATAAATACGAATTCTGTGGTAATCTCTTCAGTCGCCAAGCGTTCGCTCTGCTAGGGCAGGGGGCGTTACCCAGTTTCCGCTGCTCGTCAGGGTGCGAGTCCGGGATTTCGTAGTCGTCCGGGTTCTCCATCGTGCGCAGGGGTGGCAACTGCGGGCAGAACGAAAACTTTTATTGCGCGTTTGCTCTTGTTGAAGAACAAAGCGCGGAGCGGAAATGTTCGCGGGTATAAGCAGCTGTTGCCACAATAACTCTTGACCTTGTGTGCATTTATATTATTGAACTTGCTCTCAACAGTTTGAGATATTAATAAATAAATAAATCTATACTTTTGAAGAGGTATCTATTGGATTTCGGTTACTTGGAAGTTATGAATGAACGTTGTTCAACAATAGTAAGCCAACATGAACATAAAAATAAGTTAATTAAAAACTCGAAGTGTTTTCGTTTAGAAACAAAATTGAACTTTCAACCAAATTTCGTGATTTAAAAAAATGAATGGTAATAAATCCCGTTAACATCGGGACTTAAACCCTAGGACCTCCCAATTAGAAGCCCTCCAGCGACATCGATGCCCTGAGCCACCTCAACCGGTTCGTTTGCGGGAGGGTTGCCCCTTTAAGTTAGAAGCGTAGCTGCCTTTTGGATGACTATCCGTAACAAGATTCTGCTCACAGCTCTAAGGGATACGGGAAACCACGCATACCTGTTCAGAAGAAAATCAGAGGTCGACTTGTTTTTGCTCACTTTTCGTTTCATAGTTGTGGTCACACGCTTTTGTTTCGACGCCGTGTAAAAATGTCACGCATTCCCAGTCTGTATGACACCCTTAGTCCTCAAGTAGTCATGCTAGTGTACTTTATTACATCACTGTCTCAAGGTATTTGATATATACCGTAAAATCCTGAAGCTTAATGCATCTTATCCCTGATATTCTATAATACTAATCAAAATTTTATGTTCGATTAACTAGTTTCAAGAATTGAATTGAGCTACGTTACATAATTACTCGCCATAAAATAAAAAGAAAATAAGATGAGAATGTAAAGAAAAAGGTAATAAGAGCCTTAATAATATTTAATTGCCTTATTAATCATTATTGAAAATTGAGTGTTCCAAAAAGTGTTAAGATTTGTCATTTTACTAACCAGTCTGTCCAATGGTGCTTCATTGTGTATAAGAACCTTAAAGTCCAATTAGTGTAACTCAATTTTTCGCGTGTTTTTTACATTAGGTAGATAATCGCGCATAACTAGCGGCATTCTATTGACAGCGCAAAGCGTGCGGTTGTGCGTGTAGATAGAATGTGAAGTTTATACAGCCAGCAGAGCGATCCTACTCCTGGCGCAAAGGGGTGTAGGGGATAGGCGAATCATATTTCCTGTAAGTGGTTTGTTTTCTCAGTTCGCTGTGAAGATTCAATCGGTGCCAAACCATTCACAATTATTTTTAAATAGAAATATCTTGAGTACATGTCGCAAATTGTTCTTCAATTCGGTATCTAAAACCGGACTCCCAGTTTTTGCTGGTAACTTACTCAGAGAATGCTCTACAGAGAACTACGGTCCGTTACAAAAGAGGGGGGGGGTATGAAAGTTACGAGAGAGAATTATTGTCTGTACAATTTATTAACTGGCTTTGATTAGTTCTTGTTTTTTTAAATACATCAAATGAACTATGTTAAGTACTTGACTGTCTTTAATAGGAACTATTCAAAGCTAGCTAATTTATGTAGGACCTTTGGTCCTTTTTTCCACCTGTTCAATACCACTACTTAAAGTGATGTATTACTTATAAAGTGTTGTATTAATAGTCGAGCCACTCTATGGAAATGACAATATTATTGATGATGACTGATGAATTACGACATTTATGTAACATGGGAAATAGTCCAGGATTTTACTTTTAACTGGTTTGAGTTTGCATGTGTTTTTTCCAAACTTATCTTTTTAACATGAATTTAATTTTTTTCTTCTGCTCTCCACTTTTGGTAATATTGTCCATTTAATTTAAGATTTTGCCAAAGTTGTTCATATAATTTAGAATTTTTGTTAAAATATGTAAATGCAGTATTATTTACTGCATTTGATATTTTCTTTACAAACTTGTTTACATATTCAAATTATAATTGGTCATAATCACTTAGGCCCAAGTCTATAACATGAGAAAAAATATCAGTATAATATTTATCAGATCGATGTTGAATGGGGACTTTTTAAACAGATGTATGTAAAAAATATTATTCTGGTGAATTACTTTTAACAACTGCAATAAAACATTAAATATGTCGGAACAAGCCAAATGTGAATTACAACACTTGGGATGTAAGGGACTCATAAGTAATCACAAAGTAGGTATTTCTTAGACTTCCAGTATAAATTTAATTAGGGTAAATGCACTAGTGATAGCTTCAGGTAAGAACATTTCCATAGTTTTCTCAAAATTCCTGGACTACAGTATTAAATTAGTCATGTGAAAAGTAATGGGCGATTACTCTTTCTGAAGAGATCCCTTACCTCAAAATTGCCAAATTTTTATTTGTTCTATTTTTATTATTTTTTCAAATCCCCATTATGTGCTATTAGTGATCACTTGAAAATTGCAAAATGTCTACCCGATGCAGTAATGGCCAATCGATATTCCACACCTGAGCGTGCTTGAGACCAAAATAATGAAAAGCATGTTTCATGATGTAATGCCAATATTAGTAAGATATTTTGAGTTTATTTTTTAAATATAAAATAAAAGGAAAATAAAGTGTATTCATTCCACTCCCCTCTTTTGGAAGTCACGTTCTGCAAATCTGAAGTACGTGGGAAGCATCCAATTATTCTTTTTTCAAATCTTGTCATTGAAGTAGCAACTGCTAATGTCGATACCGTAGTGTAAAATATAATTATTTTTAATTTGAATTTATTAATTTTTTAGGTAACTTATGTAAATGCAACAGTTGTGGTGTAAGCAGGGATATACCAGTTGTGTATACAGTAAAGCACGCGATTATTTCGGCACAAGAGGCGCAGCAACCGTCATAGCTGGATCAGGGCATCCATTTTTGCAGTGTCTATGACCGGAAGGCCCTAGGGTTTGAGCCTCAATGGTGGCAGTATAGCTACACAGGTTGCATTAAGCCGCCGCTGTCTAGAGGACAGTTCTACAGGCCGGCTGCTGAGATTAGTAGTTTTACGTAGTTTTTCCGGACACCACGCTACAGCCGGAGCAGTCACCTTAACAAATGGGCCACGGATCGCGCACAATCTTTCCCTTTTTTTTCCTTGTCCTATCCTCACCTACTTACTTACACACTTACCTGGTTGAGGGTAACCCCGCAAGCCGTACAGGTCGGCATCAGATCTCGCCATCGAGAGGGAAAAGATCACCTACTCCATAAATAGAGCACTACACTTACGGGTCTAATGACCTCAGCAGTTGACGTGCCAGGAATCACTAATTACTCACTCGTGGCGCGACGTGTTGAGGGCGCGGTCACCTGTTTGTGGCGCGGCCTGTCCTTGTTGCGCAGGAGCACCAGCTGCGAGATGGGGATGAGGCGGCCCTGGCCCTTGTTGTACAGGAAGGGCTCCACTTTGGTCTTGATGGCGTGGTCCAGTTCCGCGTACTGCTTCGTCTGGATGGCTCTCTTCATCATATCTACCAGCAGCCCGCCCCCTGGAATGAAAGATGCGGCGGAATTAGACTTGATAGCTGGGTACAATTCGACCTTCAGGAGAAGAATTATAGTGCCCAGCTGCTAGGATCGCTAGTTTTTGGAAGCTTTTCCGATCAATACTTCGTGATTGCCGGTGGAGTACCCTAACAAACGGGCCGTGGACCGCGCGCTTTCTTTCCCTTTCTTCGTTCTTTCCTCCTCCTTCTCTCTTACACACCCTTACATTCTTTGCACTATAACACAATTCAAGAGACCAGTTAGGTGTTTGAAGCTTATCTCAGGTGGGGCGGTGTCCTCCCGGCGGAGATACCTGGAGATAGAAACATCTCAGGTCGGTATAAAGATTGGAGCTGAATTTCACGCTGAATCTCGTGTGATATAACATGCACTGATACACTTTCGGGACCTGTGACCATAACAGTTGACGCGCCAGGAAAAAATAAATTAAGCACAATGAGATTTACATTTATTTTAACACCGCTATTGGACAATCAAGGTGGCAGCTACATAGTCAGATACAGAAAATTGTCATCAACTCACGAACTAAATAGTGATTCACAACAATAAAATAGAAATAGTAACAAGGAGTAATACATAATGGCTGTAACTAATAATTGGAAGGCAAAATCACGGCAAATATTTGTATTAGTCGCGTTCTCTGCACTTGTCCGAACCTCACTACAACGTTTCGCATTGCATTACGATGTTCCACACTTAACTGCATTGCATTGCACAACTCGACATCAGTACTTAAACATTTTTCAATTGCAAATCATTGTAAATAATTTCGAAAACTGAGCACTTTCGGACAAAACTGGACCTGGAGAGACTTTGAGAACTTCTTGGAACTCGAGAGAAAGCGATGACGTCTAAAAGACTAGCAGGGGCCTCGAGGACGAAATCCTGACAGTACAATTAATTTTATTTACCGTTTATCTCTAACAAGACACACATTTACCCTCGGGGGATACCCAGATTGTCGCTGCTTTTCGGATATCCAACGCCTGTGGGATTTTGATGGGAGCTATGGGATGAGTGATCTTTGGGCGCTAAGAAGGGGAATGGCGAGGGAAGAATCACACGCGGTCCGTGGCCCGTATTCTGGAACCTTCGGTGGCTTTCGCCTGCAAGTGATTAAGGAAACCACTTCTTGCAGCAGTCGGCCAACGAATTCGATTGATAGGCGCCACAGACCAACCGATGTTCTTCAACACTACGAGTGAATGTCTTGCACCTTGTCGCGACCTAACCTGCGACTTCGGTGCGCTCGAGTCGTATGGCGATACCCTTATGCTCACCGGTGCCGTTGCTGGTTGTAATAGTAATTTACATTACAAGGCAAGGCAATGAATGTTTTGCATAACTAGACGGAGTTCCCGTACGAGGTCGAGTCTAGGAATCTCGTCGTGTCATGGAAAGTCACTTTTTCGTGTGATGCACACTATTTTATTCGGGACATTAATTTCGTGACAACCTGTTAGTGTGATATACAAATTTAATCGACGAGAAACTTACTTCGTATCATTCCTTTGGGAGGTTGGTACTTATTTTTCCTATTTTCATAATTTCTTATTTTCTTCATTCTTATTATCATAATTACTAAAAAGTCTCTGTTTTATGAACTTGGGTATTAACGTCCCTTAGAAATAAAGCAAAAGAAAAAGAAGAAAATAGTTTCCTGGGTAAGGGTTGAACAGTGTAATGCTAATAAATACCGTATAATTGTATCTCATTACGCACAAAAACACGATTATTTTGAATTAATCTAATCGAAGAAGTGCTTATCACGAGGAAGGATTTTATACAAAACGATAATTAAAGGAGCATAGTTTAAGGAGATTTAAACCGCATCAGCAATTTTTGGGTTTCTCTTCAACATGCACTAAAACTGATGAGGGAGAGATTTGGCAAAGAATGCCGTTCACGAGGGAGGCGCCGGCGCACGTACCCTTGAGGTCCACCAGCTTGTAGAGCTTCTGCGTGGAGGTGCCGGCCTGCTTCTTGACGCCGCTCGTCACGTTGCTCTCGGTGTTCCCCATGGCGGCGGCGGCCGACGCTCAGCCACCCAGCCGCCTGCAGCGCTCAGCGAGCAGCGGGTCGCGCCTCAGCGCCGTCCAACTGCAGCTAACGAGCAGGCCCAAATACCAATGCGAGGGAAGCCATTCAGCGCTGCCAGACAGCCTTCGCGCAGGTACCAATTGAATGTGCGAATCGATAGATCTGCGACATACGCTCTGGCGCTCAGCACTGAGCGAGAACCAGGACGAATCTCCTAGATGCTCACGTGCAGGTGCCAACGCTCAGCGGAGGATGCGACTCAGCGCTGTCGGACAGCCTCCGTGCAGAGATCACGTGTCAGCTGCCCTGCGACTTACGCCTTGCGCTCAACACTCGGCGAGAAGAAGGATGTGCCTCAGCAGCGGCGCGATTTAGAAATCCGCTCTGGAAGCACAAGGTCCAGGGAGTGGCAGGACGGTCGCCTCAGCACCCCGTTAGTAGTCGAGCGACAGGGTGCCCCGCGCTCGGACAAGAAGGTTGAAGTCGAGTCTTCTTTGATGACAAGGATATGCGAGCCTCGGCGCAGCTGAACTGCACTGAGAGCGAGCCCGCGCGCTGGTGGCGCGCCCTCAGCGAGGAGCACGACCTGTCCCAGCGCCGCAGCGCATGTCCTTGAGCGGCCCGCAGCAGAGCACGCCCCAGCCCCGTCTAGTGCGCGGGCGCCCGTCGCTCAGCGGCGGGAAGGCAGCACCTGAGCCCCACGAGGCGACGGCTCCCTCAGGGCCCGCTCCATCGCCGCACGGCCGCAGCGCCGGTGGCCTCGCGCGCCCAGCGACGCAAAGGAGGCACCTCAGCCCCACGAGCGGCCCAACGTCAACGTGCAGGCAGCTCCTTCGGCGGCCCGGAGCGCGCGCGAACCGGGGGGCGACGGGGAGCGACAGGGCGGGGCGGGGCGGTCAGCGCGGGTGGGGCGTGCCTCTGGCTTCGATCTGGCCCGCGGCGGGGGCGGTGGCGGAGGCGGTGGCTGGCGCCGGCTGGTACCGCGACCCCGTCGATCGCCGTCCTTGCGCCCTCGCGCTGTTTGCGCGCGTTCCGCCCGTCCGCCCGTCCGCCCGCTCGTCCGCCACGCCCACGCGCCCGCCTTGCGCAAGCGGTGATGCGCTACTCCAGGCCCGCGTGCGCTGACGGGGGGTAAACACTCCTTTCTCATCTAGCTGATTAAGTAATTTCTGTTTCCTCGTTTCTCCTTCCGCCGCCGTTGCTTCTCATTCCTTCTTTTCTTCCCCATCACCTTGTATTTTCTCTTCTATCTCGTCTCATCCTTATTCTCTCCTTCTGTTTCTTCTCCTCTTCCGCCTCTTTCTGCTCTTTATGCTCCTTCACCATTATCTTCTTGTTCTTCTTTGTCGCAACCACGCTGTAAAAATTCGTTGACGCAGCGACATCTATTCTCTTACTTATGACGATGGCAGATAGTTGCAATTTTATGGTTCTGTTTATTTTTTTGAGAGATGGATAATGTCAATAGCCCTTACTCTTTGCTCGTACGAAGTCGATTTTTCTAGTAGGTTACGTGGAGAACTTTACTCACGTACTGTGTCTCTTAGTCTTCGCTAGAGTTTTTGCTAGATTCTGATAGTTTTTTATATCCGTAAAGTTGTTCTTTTAGGAGAGTATGCTCGTAAAAGTGGCGCAGCACTATTTCAAACCTCTGAATGTTTGAAAATTACAAACGCTTAAAATATTTTGAATCATCTCCTGCAACAACATTAATAAAGATAGACTTTTTGTTCTCGGTGAAATTCATTCATGAAAATGAAATCTCTAAATGATGTCATATACAAATTTTCAAGATGTTAATTTTCACGTAAGGTTCAAAGAAATCGGATGAATTAAAGAATGCATAAACAAGATTTAATCGAGAACGGCATCGTATTTTACGTTCTGGTATCACAAATATCTACGGAGTAATATGCGTAGTATATTAGAAAGAGAATAATCTGTTGGCTTCACAGGAAAGTGTTTAATTGGGGACATTGAATCGTACACCTATAACAGTTTTGCCGTGATGTGGCCAAGCGCAAAGTTACCCCTCAGTGGGAATGTCCTCAGACGAGCCATAGGAACAGCGAGAGAACCTCTAAAGTGTTACGAGAAAGCCTGTGCTTTTTTGCATTGCCACTAGTTTTCAAAGCATCACTTTTCCATCCGTTCGTACGTGTCACAGATGAATGTATATGGATGTAAATACGAAACAACCAGAAGGCAACGGTTGTTTTCTTGTAAGGAGAGATAAATTTAATCCTGTCATTTTCAAATTTATCAATTATTGTTAAACACTGAATCTATAGTGAATAAAAGTGAATTCAACGACATGTAACCAACATCGATTCCACAAAAAGGAGTGTATGAGTAGATACGAAATATTTACAGGCTCTCCTTCAGAATTTGACGCAGTGCTTGGAACGTTTTTTAAAGATTAATACAATACAAGCATGGAAAATAAAAATTTAAATAATATGCTGGTAGATGCACCACACTCATTATTTTTCACCTGTTGCTAAGAGGTTCCTACATTCCGCCAGAAGCTGGCACTAGTGCGTTAGAACCGTGTACCCGATCTCCATGAAAGATGGCACATTTACGTGTTTTTTCACGCAGATTTTTGTGCTGTTAATTTTGTTGAAACTCTACTAAATGGCGCTGTAGCAATAATTGCGCTCAATTTAAATTCAAACTTAGCTCCACGTGAGATTTATTGTTGTAGGCGTTGCGATGTGACGCAGAGCGAGGCCAAGGAGGGAGCGAGAGACAGAGACGTAGAAAGAAAGACACAAACAAAGGGAGAGAGGAGGGGAGAGAGGAGGGGAGAGAGAGACGCACAATAATGGAGATAGACGCAGAGAGAGAGAGACAGACAGACAGAGAGACAGAGAGAGAAAGAAAGAGAGTGAAAGAAAGAAAGAAAGAAAGAAAGAAAGAAAGAAAGAAAGAAAGAAAGAAAGAAAGAAAGAAAGAGATGGAAGGAGAAGGGGAGGGAGATGGAGAGCAGGACAACGTCTGCCGGGTTCCTCTAGTATGAAATAAACACGCATTTAGAAAGATACAAACTATCTAATCATGCTTGTATATTATGGTCGGAGAAGAGACGTACGTGACATTACATGACGTACACACGTCATGTCATGTAATGTTCTGTCATTCATATATACGCACTAAAGAGAACTCCCGTGCATTTCTCGGGCGCCGTGCGTCTGACGTGTAGACTCATTTTATTAAACGATGAAAATAAACTAAACATACAGAATTAGAGAGATTCAAATTTAATAATCTGACGCTTTAGCGTAATTTATTATCGGAGAAAAAATTATCCTTATCCGGGGCAGTCGAGAATAATCATATTGACACCGTGTTCGCTTTAGAGTTTCTTCTGAGATCGCGAACGCCCCGGCTGTACTACGTGAACTACGATTCCTTTGGTTAATAAATTCCTATTCATTTATTCGTCACAAATTGTAAACCCACATATATCCGACGACGTGAATTCAATGAAAAGCACACTGTGGCGTACCGTATTATGTAATCGAATATAGCCATATTGCTAAAAATGTTTCGTTTTTGGTCCAGTTCGGTAGCTATTCTGTATTGGCGAGAACATTTCATTTATTAATAGATATTTTTACTGTAACTATTTCATTCGCGACGTGGAAAATAATTCGTTTTTGAATGTAGTATATTGATTCTGTTTAGAGTAGTTAAGCACTTTGCAAAAAGTCTGATTTACAGTCATCTAGCAAGGAGAATGTCGTACAACTAGATTATCTTTTTCTTGAGGGAGATGGAAGATGACATTCTGCTAATTTAACAACATTTAAAATCATTGAAGTTTGAAGCCAGAGCTTTTGTGATGTAACGGTTGTCGATTGGAAGTACGCTCAAGTGCGATGGGATTACGGATTATTCTCCTTTGTGTGCAATCAAGCGTTTGGCTATATCACAAAATCGCATTACAATGCTGTTACTTTGTATGTAAAAATGTAAGTGAAAGTTGCAATAATTACGTTATATCCTTATGCAGACATTATTTGGAATTAAAATCGAATCTCATCATATAGTTCATCAAATTATGTAACAGACGGCGGGTTTTTTCGTTTTTTGCCAGAACAATTTCTCTAAATTAATAACTCAAGAAATTTGTTATTTTAAAGAGAACACAATATTTTGAAAATATGTAATTGAAAATATAGGTATAACACTAGTCTCTTGCTTGGGAGAATACAGAGCCTCTATCATTGACTTCAACTTGCGAAATGTTTTTTCAGTGTGTCAAGGACGAGCTATAAAAGACATACCATAAATCGATATTTATGGACACCATCCGGTTCCACGAAAGTGCGTTGAATTGGATACATTCAAGAGAAGCAGAAATTCTGCCATTTATCAAAAATGTGAATCGGACTATTTCTATTCTCTTTTTTTATTTTTCTTAACTCTATTCCAAAGAGATGCCTGGCCCCCTATATAAATGAATAGTGCATTGCAATGCCATGAACATGGGTCATAGTATCCTTTCCTATTCATTAATTTGATTTTGCGTATTCTATAAGTTGCGCAACAGCGGTACAGAGAAAAGTATTCCATATATTTACTTATTCCAAAAATTGTACCATTACAAAAAGTTCTTATTCTCCGGTAAATATCAGGAGATGTAGCTCAGGAAGTGGTGATACTGGAGTGCCTCTAACCGGGAGTTTCTGGATTCAAGTCCCGACGGTGGCAGGATTTTTGACATTAGCTAAATAGCTAGGCCAAATTCAGTCGCTGTCTGGAAGAGAATTCTAGCGGTCAGCTGTTCAGAATATCGGCCGGCTGCTATGAAAATGTTCATGTGGGACAAGGTTTTACTTTTCTCAGTTATATTTCAATTCTCCTATTACGGGACGGTAAAATTGAGAGTATTTGAAAAGAATGTCTTAGGTGCCGTTAGGTAAAATCTGAGAAGAGTGTGGGGAAGTGCCGACAAGCTATCCCAGAAGAAAGG